TGAACAGAGGAAATGTCATTTTAGTGCCAGGAATATCTTTCTTGTTTATTCTGGACCCTATTCGGAAATTGGCATCTTTTGAAATTTGCGTGAAATTGGCAAAATTGCTAAATTCTGACTACTCTATTGGATAGTTGAAATTGGTAAATGGGCGGTTTCTTGCACTCATTCGATAGAAAAAAATGGAGTTCTAGCGAAATATTCATGTTTTTTGTCAACTAGTACAGTGGAATTGGCCGAAAATGGGGCTGAAAGTGGGCAAAATCGCCAATGCGTAAACATCGCCAAGACCGCTAACTTCGCGAGAGCATAATTCCGTAAGTTTTCCAGCAAATTTCATACTTTTGGTGTCATTATGATCAGAAAAAGATTCTCTATCTTTTCATAAGATTTTTTTTTTTTTTTTAATTTGGCCGACCCTGAGAACGAGTCTCAGAGAGGGTCTGTCGACCCTCAAAGGGTTAATTACTTCTGCCAAAGAGGATCCCAGAATGGAGTCGAAATATACAGATCAATCAACCTGTGTTTGTCTCCATGTGGGTTACTTTTGAGCATTGACAAGTGTTCATTACACTTTAGTTATTCACTTATAGAGCATGTTATTTTGGTAGGCAAATGTGCAAATGTGCAAATTACCCAAGAATTTTAATACTGCTGGAATAATTTTCAATACCCATGTTTTGAATACAGTACAGTGGACCCCTGATTTTGACCGGTGCAGAAATCAGCCAATTCAGAAATCGAGCACTTTTTTTTGGCGAAATTTCCCCCCAGATTTCGTACATCTGCTCGAAAATTGTTGGTACCAGATGCATTCACCTGGGCCACTCATACGTTTGTGACTCACTCTTGGGCATATTAAATGTCTTATTTTAGGTTAATATAGACATTTTCATTAATCTATGATATTTTCTTCAAAATTATGGAAGAAACATACTACACAGTATATAAACATGCCTTTGTTACTCGTTCACTACGAGAGTCCCTCTAGTCTTATCGCCATAGTTATAATACTAATACTTAATAATAATCACTCTTGGGCACATTAAATGTCTTATTTAGGGTTAATATAGACATTTTCATTAATCCATCTTATGATATTTTCTTCAAAATTATACAAGAAACACGTTACATAGCGTACAGCATAAGAACGTGCAATGCTCGTATGCTATCAAGTGGTGAATCAGGTGGAAAACATTACGTTTTCTCTGGTCGAGCGTTAGAGAAAACTGTGAATCTGGTGTCTGGCTCAGTCACCGCCCTTAACCCTTTGACTGTTTCAGGCCCCTCTCTGAAACTGTCATTCTATGTCGCCAAATATTCAAAAAAAAAAAATTATTTTTTCTTATGAAAATGTTAAGATTATTTTTCTGAGTGTTTTAGTCCAAAAAAAAAAATTTTGCCATCAGTACTTACCGAGATATAGAGCCGTGAAGTTTGCAGAAAATGAGCCGCGTATGGCAACAGCGGCGACTGCCGCTCACCTGGTAACTTTAGTTTACTTGTATTTGAAGGTTTTTTGTTTTTTTCACTATTTTATTTTTTCACATAACTTATGTGGCCTGTGAGACCAAAGTAAGGTGCAATGTACATATATACACTCGTTGTATACAACACAATAAGCACACAAACATAATTATCAATATATTGTTTACAAAACTTGTTTACAAAAACAAACAAACAATCATCCCCCTCTCCTTCCCCTTCTCCTCCTCCTCCTCCTCCTTTTCTCCTCCTCCTCCTCTTCTCCTCCTCTCCTCCTCCTCCTCCTTCTCTCCTCCCTCCTTCCCCTTTCCTCCTCCTTCTCCTCCTCCTCCTTCTCCTCCTCCTCCTTCTCCTCCTCCTCCTTCTCCTCCTCCCTCCTTCTCCTCCTCCTCCTCTCTCCTCCTTTCTCCTTCTTCTTCTCCTCCTCCTCCTTCTCCTCCTCCTCCTTGTCTTGTGTGCTAGTGTGTGGCTTATAAATGTTTTGAGTCAGAAGTCGGCAGCTGTCAAAGTGACATATTGTCTCATTACTCACTCCCCCTCCCGCCTGTCAAAACAATGGGGTCAGATGCTGCTTCCCCTCCTCCATTCTATCTAATTATCTTTCTCCCTCATTCTATATCTTTCAATCTGTCTCTCTTTCTATCTGTCTGCCTATCTCTGTCTCACAGGTACACATAAATACAAGTATACATAGTGTAAATTACCTAGGATAACCCAAGAAATCCAGACAAAGTGCTATACTCTGGTTGAAGATGTGAGTAAACGTGATGACACAGTCTTGTGGCTCTCTCTGAGACAGAGAGCTAGATGGACAGACAGGGAGCTTGACAGACAAATAGACAGACAGAAATGTTTGTGTACCAGCAAAAACAAAGGGAGGGCGATGGTCATGTAATATTTCCTTATCAGCTCTACCCTCGTTTATGCTCATCAAAGCCAGCTCTTATCAGATGTTATCTCCCCTTATCTTGTCACTGTCATGGGGTGGACTTTTTTTTTTCTTGCTTCAAGGGAACAATATTATTACATCTTCTTCTTCCTCCTCCTCCTCCTCCTCCTCCTTCTCCTTCTCCTCCTCTTCCTCCCCTCCTCCTCCTCCTCCTCTTCCTCCCCCTCCTCCTCCTCCATTGCTTTTGGTCTCAAACTCCTCCAAATCATGAAATTGATCTTCACTGACACTTCCATCTGTGTTAGAGCATCACTTGGGAAGAGAAGAGTCCCAGATTTGCTGGGGAATCACATATTTCTTACCACTAGACATGCTGAAAATGGACAACTGAAATGGCATTCCCACAATGCACCACTGGCTCCCCGATATTTTTATATGGTGCACACTGACCATGGAGACCCATTCTCTCACATGTGGGCCTACCAGCTTTCTCCTGCTTGATTTGAAGCTGCTAGAATTTATGCGTATAAATACGTCAGAAACATTGGCTTGTAAGACGTATTTATACGTCGGAAACAGTCAAAGGGTTAATATGCGTTTGTTTACAATTCTCGGCATGAATTATTCATTACTTCTCCCTTTGTTTATTATGGCACCTTAAGGTAATTGTTAGAAACGATTAAACTCAGTGAACATGTTATGTTGATGATCATAATATGGCTGTGTTCTTCAATGTAGGTAGCCATTAGGTGTTGCCCAGAGGGACTACATATGTGTACCTACATCTACCAGCTACCTACACTGATTTCCTACAAATAAATACTACTCACCTCTCGCCCTTACCTGGAGTTTACCTGGAGAGAGTTCCGGGGGTCAACGCCCCCGCGGCCTGGTCTGTGACCAGGCCTCCTACATTGAGACTACAGATATTTTAAGGTAAGTAATGAATGGATTAACCACTGAAGAGCTGCAACACTAGTTTTTTTTTTTTTCAACAAACCAGCCGTATCCCACCAAGACAGGGTGGCCCAAAAAGAAAAACGAAAGTTTCTCTTTTTAAATTTAGTAATTTGTACAGGAGAAGGGGTTACTAGGCCCTTGCTCCCGGCATTTTAGTCGCCTCTTACAACACGCATGGCTTACAGAGGAAGAATTCTGCTCCACTTCCCCATGGAGATAAGAGGAAATAAACAAGAACAAGCATTAGAAAGAAAATAGAAGAAAACCCAGAGGGGTGGGTATATATATGTTTGTACATGTATGTGTAGCGTGACCTAAGTGTAGATAGAAGTAGCAAGATGTACCTGAAATCTTGCATGTTTAAGAGACAGAAAAAAGGACACTAGCAATCCTACCATCATGTAAAACAATTACAGGCTTTCGTTTTACACTCACTTGGCAGGGCAGTAGTACCTCCCTGGGCAGTTGCTGTCTACCAACCTACTACCTATAACACTATAGTTCTTTCTTTCTTTCAACGTACCAGCCGTATCCTACTGAGGTGGGGTGGCCCAAAAGGAAAAACGAAAGTTTCGCCTTTTAAATTTAGTAATATATACAGGAGAAGGGGTTACTAGCCCCTTGCTCCCAGCATTTTAGTCGCCTCTTATGACATGCATGGCTTACGGAGGAAGAATTCTGTTCCACTTCCCCATGGAGATAAGAGGAAATAGACAAGAACTAGAAAGAAAATAGAAAAAAACCCCAGAGGGGTATGTATATATATATATGCTTGTACATGTATGTGTAATGTGACCTAAGGTAAGTAGAAGTAGCAAGACGTACCTGAAATCTTGCATGTTTATGAAACAGAAAAAAGGACACCAGCAATCCTACCATCATGTAAAACAATTAAAGGCTTTCGTTTTACACTCACTTGGCAGGACAGTAGTACCTCCCTGGGCAGTTGCTGTCTACCAACCTACTACCTATAAAACTATAGTTCTTTCTTTCTTTCAACGTACCAGCCGTATCCTACTGAGGTGGGGTGGCCCAAAAGGAAAAACGAAAGTTTCGCCTTTTAAATTTAGTAATATATACAGGAGAAGGGGTTACTAGCCCCTTGCTCCCAGCATTTTAGTCGCCTCTTATGACATGCATGGCTTACGGAGGAAGAATTCTGTTCCACTTCCCCATGGAGATAAGAGGAAATAGACAAGAACTAGAAAGAAAATAGAAAAAAACCCAGAGGGGTATGTATATATATATATGCTTGTACATGTATGTGTAATGTGACCTAAGGTAAGTAGAAGTAGCAAGACGTACCTGAAATCTTGCATGTTTATGAAACAGAAAAAAGGACACCAGCAATCCTACCATCATGCAAAACAATTACAGGCTTTCGTTTTACACTCACCTGGCAGGACGGTTGCTGTCTACCAACCTACTACCTATAACACTATAGTTATTCTCTACAAAATTTATTTTTTGTTAATATTTTTGGGTGTCTGAAATGGATTAATTGGATTTACATTATTTCTTATGGGAAATATTACTTCGGTTTTCGGCCAACCTTCTGGAACGGAAAACTGGGGGTCTACTGTACTGATAATTAAGAGAGAGTCTGGAGAAAAATGTTTACTTTTATGGGAGCAGTAATCTAAAATATACCTAAATTAGTAATTACCTATGACAAAGAGAAGGAGTGAACTGTCCTGGGTAGATTTCCCGGGCAAATTTGAAGAAGGGACGAGGATCTCGCTGGAAGTAGTGAATATCGAACATTGCCTGTGGATCTGGTAAATCAGGAAAGTCAACAGCAAGGCGCGCATAAATTCCATCTCTGCTCCTGAAGTCTGGGATGCCACACGAGACTGACACCTGTAATTACAATACAATACAGAAATTGCATATAAAACTAAAAATTTATAAAAACTTTAGACTTCAAATATTAAAAGTAAGATATCTTGAGACATTTAAAACCTTCATAAGCATTTCCAGGTCTACCTCCCTTACTTTATGTGATTGATGCATTCATTCTTGACCCATGAAGCATAAAGCTAATTCTCATAAAGTGAATCCAAAATAATTTTGGTAAAGCATGATTTGTTCTGAAACTTTGCAAAGTCCACATTTCTTGACCAATGTTTACCAGAAAAATATGAGCTTACCACACATTCACCAAATGATCAATTTAAATAAAAAATGAATCTGGTATAAAAAAAAAAAGCAATCCCCATAAAAAAATTGGGAAAAATATTCTACTTTTCTATACACATTATTTATTTGTTGACACATCGTCCATTTCCCACCATGGCAGGGTGACCCGAAAAAAAAAGACACTTTTATCATCATTCACTCTATCAGTCTTGCCAGAGGTATGCCTACACTACAGTTAAACTGCAACATATCAACACCCCTCCTTCTGAGTGCAGGCACTGTACTTCCCACCTCCAGGACTCAAGTCCAGCTAACTGGTTTCCCTTGAATCCCTTCATAAAGATTACTCTGCTCATACTTCAACAGCACATCGTCATAAAAACTATTCGTCTCCACTGACTCCTACCTAACATGCTCATACATCCTTGCTGAAGTCCAAGCCCCTCACACACAAAACCCATAATAATCCTCCCTTCACTACCAATCAACCAGCCTGTCATTGTTTGACTTGCACACATGAATCTGTGAATACACATCTCCCTCCCTTAACCCCCTAGTCCAGAATTTGTGTCGGCAGAGCCCAACTTCATCTGGCTGGGTATCCACTGTCTTTTGAACTGACACAAGACACTTAAATTGAAAACCAATCATTGAAGTACAGTCAAAATATTGCTAATTAGATTTCCCGCACCCAAATCTGTTTTCATTCTTTATGAACTTCAATATAAACCAGTTAAAGATATTTAAGAAAATTGTTACAAAATCAAATAGGGCTGGACTTGGGTTATCACATAAGAATGTAATTTTACAGTACATAGTGATATAGCAAATTACTGGTATAAATATGATCACTGCACATAAACGAATTCACACAAAGTGAGGGAAACCTGTATGGTTTTTTGTGCAATTCTGTTTAATCCTATATTTTTTTTAATTTTAATGCAGATATCACTAAAACAACATGCAAATCTAAACACTAACCCCTGCACCAGTTAAGACAATAATCTTCCGACAGGATTTCATTAATCTCACTACATCCTCAATAGTATTGATGTGCCGTAATTTTTCTCTTCTTGGAGGCTCTGACAACATGTTGACAATAAGCCGCCACAATGTTACATCAGCCACTCCTTCAGGAATTTCAGCTGTAGTCCCCAGGACATGGGTGAGGATAATACGTGGGTTGACCCCACGCATCATCTGCTGCTGTACCCAAGACATGGGACCTGAAATACATGAAGCTTATGTAAATACATGCAAGATATATATTTTCTACATACATTTCCCAAACAAATTACGTACAAACTTTAAAAAGAAAAACTTTCATTTTTCATTTTAGGTCACCCTGCCTCGATGGGATATGGCTGGTTTGTTGAAAAAAAAAAATTGTACTGCATGTAAATGTAAAAACTATTTTTTAAAACCAATGTTTACTCATTCCATGAAATGCATAAGCAATTAAGTAAATTAAACAGGTTTTAGGAAGGGTAGGGAATGTGTAGATCAAGTGTACAGTGAAGCACATAAGTGAACAATGCTTAGATAAAGTTAAGGAACTTTTCATTAGCATATAATAGGATGGTTAAGGGAGCAATGAAGCAGATATTGCAAATATATGGAATAGGTAGTAGGTCACTTCAAGAAATAAGGAGCTTTTATGTGGATAGCAAGGCACAGGTTAGGGTTAAGTAGGAGAGAGAGATTGGCAAATGAATTTGGGAGAGTATGCAAAAGAAAGAAATTAAAATTTAACATAAGAAAGATCAAGGTGATGAGAGTACCCAAAAATATATGCATTGAGAGACTGGATATTAGATTGGTGGGAAGGAGTACTGAAGTAAATGTGTTCAGATATCTGGGAAGTGGACTTGTCCTTGAGAGATGAGGTGAATCTTAGAAGTGATGAAGGGAAAAAGGTGGGTGATACACTGAGGCATCTTTGGAGACAGAGAACTTTAGCCATGAAGACAAAAAGGAGAATGCACCAAAGTATAGTAATACCAACAATACTGAAGGGGGTGTGAAGCATAAGTTTTGAATGTTGAAGTGAGGAGGAGGCTGGAGGCAATAAAGATGCATTTGAGGGCAATGTGTGGTGTGATTATGATGCAGAGAATTCAGAGCTTGGAGATTAGGAGTGGAGTTACCAAAAGTAGTATTCAGAGGACTGAGGAAAGGCTGTTGAGATGGTTTGAACGTCAGAAGATGGAGAAAAAAATAAGATGACAAGGAGGGCACATAATCTAGAGAGTAAAGGAGGGGTAGGGGTCATCCTAGGAAAGATTGGAGGGAGGAGGTAAAGGTTTTGAGTACTAAGGGATGGACCCTGGCATCAATAATGTAGATCTACATGTGGGACCCTGGCATTAATAACATAGATCTATGTGACGGACAGTGAAAGGGTTAAGCACTTCATTCTTAGTATCACGTTTAATTATTCACACACCTTCACGTATACTTATATGTACCTTTCACAAAGGTAAACAGTCTCCCCAAAAAACATCTGTAGATTTCACCAATACTACTGAACAAAATGAGGATGTATACCTTGCCCATGTCATCCTATATCAGCAACAGAAACTTAATATGGGCCAGTATGCTTGTTGCAGTGCTCCTCTATTCTTGCTATTTTCTCCTTTATGCTCCTCATCCCCCCCTTATTTTGTACCTAGCATGGGACAGTGGGCCTACTTCAGTGCTCCTTTTGCACTGGGTTACCTGATCTCACTGTATGATCATGGGTGAATATGTACAATAAAGGTTTTCCTGCATGTATATTTTTTCCAGTACTAGGGTACTGCTAAAACTGAATCCTTTCTAGTACATCTTTAAAATGTAAATAGTGTACTATATATGCCAACAGAGTACAGTATATTAATTCATCCATTTTGTACTTTTACCTTTGCACATGCATGTTAATTCAACTTGTATTTTTAATTGTTAGTGAAAGTTATAACAACCCATTCGATCAGTCATACCATATAATTTAATATTTTATCAGTATCATTTCCTCAAGTTCATTAGTACAGTATACTTTTATTTCTCTACACATTATCATCATTCTAACAATGAAGCAGCAGGAACCCCTATTTCCTTTCCATTATATAATTAATAGTTCATCAAGAGATTATGAATGACACTTAGGTATTTCAATAAAAAAAGAGTAATTACCAAGCTTAACAACTCACCAGCACAAGGTTTCCAGTCCTTTCCAGAAAAATTTGAAAAGTCAGACAGTCCACTGAGATTGGACGTGGTAGATGCTACAGACTGTCTATCATCCTCATCCTCCTCCTCATCCTCTTCCTCTTCCTGACTCGCAGTTGTTCCAATGGGCCAGTTTTCAGAACAGTCATTGACTGAACTATCATTGGTATTATCACTGCTTAATTGATTTTCAATTCTACCAATATTTTCCCCTTGACTGGAGCTTGTTCTGCTGTGGAAAATGGTATTCCATTACATATATGTAGTTAAAAAAAAAAAAATATCTTGCAACATTTAAAGTGAATCTTAATATGTACATACTGCATAATACGTATACAGGTCCGCCATCACAAATCCAGCAATCAGTTATTCGGCACTAACTTTGGCTAGCATAATTTCAAATTTCCAGAGTCGCCACACCAACCTGCTGGTACTATTTGGTGGCGCTACTTGCTGCATAAGTCATTCCAATTTCTTTTTCTCCATTTATTGTTTTAACCTGCTTACTTTTAGCCCTAGCCATGGTTCCAATGAATAAAAGAAATGCTTCTCATTATGTAAAGCACCTACACAGTACATTACCCATTAAAGATAAGGTGGCTTTGAAGCCACTGTCGGTTGCCATGAGCTCAGTCTCATGAAGCAGGAAAATATGCTTTATTATTACGCTAATATCAACACTACAGCTTATTTGCCTATCACAATTGATCTAATATGACATAATAAACAATATAAATATAACATAAAACATGTTAAATACTCCAGAATGAATAATATTTGACATAATACCGAGCAGTTCGACAGAGGTATGAAGAGGATATGGTAAACAAATACCATTCTCCTATCCCTGTCTAGGGGGCTTATATTAGAGAAAACGGAGTATACCACAGGGCTAACTGTCATATACTCTCGTACTGCACCATAAACCTGAAACAAAAAAGTTATTTTCTCTCTATAGATTATCACACATAGCAGCATGTGTGTAGAGAACCTAGGATAACCCAAAAAAAGTCAACATGGCTTATTTTTAGTACCTGGCTTGGGTTAGCCATATAAGATTTTTGGTAAATATTCGATTCCCAGCCAGGGTAGAAACATTAGGCGTGTTTCTTTACACCTGTTGTCTATGCTTACCCATCAGTAAATGGGTACCTGGGTGTTAGCCAACTAGTGTGGATGTAATACTGGGACACTGACCTAATTTTCTTGAAATATTCTGCATAACAAGCGGCTTTCTATACAGTAATATGTCATTGATGTCAGCTAGGCCTGTATACCTTGTACATGTACGTGTAGTAAATAAAGATATTATTATTAATTATTATTATTACAGTGGACCCCCGCTTAACGATCACCTCCAAATGCGACCAATTATGTAAGTGTATTTATGTAAGTGCGTTTGTACGTGTATGTTTGGGGGTCTGAAATGGACTAATCTACTTCACAATATTCCTTATGGGGAAAAATTCGGTCAGTACTGGCACCTGAACATACTACTGGAATGAAAAAAGTTCGTTAAGCGGGGGTCCACTGTATTATTATAATAATTATTATATTATTTTCTCAGTTGTTTGTTGGGTTATCTTATTCAAACTTGGGCAATGTATGATGGAAAGATACTTCTTCACATACACCAAAAATGAAAGAAATCAGACCATAAATAGCAGAGATCACTTCTGGTTGTATTCTCATTTTTTTGGTCTCATTTGATAGAATGGAAGATATACGTATTACAGAAATAGACATGATTTTGATTGCTTTCATGACGAAAAGTACCTTGAAATTGAGTTCAAAGTAGCGGAAATGTTCGATTTTTGCCGATGTTCAATGAACTGTGTAAGTCAAGTTGGTTAATTTTATTAAGTGTATTCTAACCTAACCACTCTGTAATTCGGCAAACTCAGTAATCCGGCACACTACAGGTCTCAATGATGCCGGATTTGTGATGGAGGACCTGTACATGCATATACACACTGTACACACACACACACACACACAACACACATATTTTTTTTTTTAACAAGTCGGCCATCTCCCACCGAGGCAGGGTGGCCCAAAAAGAAAGAAAATCCCCAAAAAGAAAATACTTTTATCATTCAACACTTTCACCTCACTCACACATAATCAGTTTTTGCAGAGGTGCTTAGAACACAACAGTTTAGAAGCATATACGTATAAGGTGTTTATATATATATAATATATATATATAATATATATATATACAGTGGACCCCCGCATAGCGAACTTAATCCGTGCAAGAGGGCTGGTCGTTATCGAAATGTTCGCTATGCGAATTAATTTTCCCATAAGAAATAATGGAAATAAATTAATCCGTGCAAGACACCCAAAAGTATGAAAAAAATTTTTTTTACCAAAAAAAAATGTTAATTTTAGTACACACAAACTGAAAAAGGCATGCACAATTACATGACACTTACTTTTATTGAAGATCTGGTGATGATTGATGGGATGGGAGGAGGGAGAGAGAGTGTTAGTGTTTGAAGGGGAATCCCCTTCCATTAGGACTTGAGGTAGCAAGTCCTTTTCCGGGGTTATTTCCCCTTTTTCTTTTAATGCCACAAAGGACCAGCTTCAGAGTCACTGGACCTCTGTCGCACAACAAATCTGTCCATAGAGCTCTGTACCTCCCGTTCCTTTACGATTTGTCTAAAATGGCCATAACATTGTCATTGAAATAGTCACCAGCACGGCTTGCAACAGCTGTGTCAGGGTGATTTTTCATCCATAAAGGTTTGCAGTTCAACCCACTGTGCACACATTTCCTTAATTTTTGAAGTAGGCACAATGGATTCCACAAGTGGCATAGGCTTCTCAGGGTTAGCCCAAACCCTTCAAAATCTTTCTTAATTTCCATAAATAATTCTCACCCTTTTTACCACAGGGTTGGCACTAGAGCTTCTTGGGGCCCACGGTCACTTATTTTCCAGAAAAAGCCGAAAACACTGTAATAATACGAAATATTCCGAGTGTATTCTTGAATGTTACCGCGGAGGCTGGCTGGTAAACAATGGACGTGTCTCGGACGAAGGTCGCTGAGCGGGTTTTTGTCCACTATGCGGGGCAAAATTTGGCGAACAAAGCGTTCGCTATGCGGATTGTTCGCTATGCAAGGCGTTCGCTATGCGGGGGTCCACTGTATTTTATATATATATAATATATAATATATTAATATATTATATATATATATATATTATATATATAATATAAATATAATATATATAATATTTTTATATATATATATAATATATATATATATATATTTATATATATATATATATATAATTATAAAATATAAAATATATTATATATATAAAATATAAATTTAATATATATATTTTAATATATATATATTATATATATATAATATAGGGTATATATATTATATATATATATATATATAATATAATATAATATATATAGATATTTATATATATATATATATATTTTAATAAAATATACATATATATATTATTATATTAAAATATATATATAAAATATTTTATATATTAAAAGTGGACCCCCCCGCTTAACGATCACCTCCCAAAAACGACCAATTATGTAAGTGTATTTATGTAAGAACGTTTGTACGTGTATGGGTTTGGGGTCTGAAATGGACTAATCATTACATATTTCCTATGGGAAAAAATTCGGT